CATCGAACTGTTATTGGCGATACTAACCATGGGCTTGGCCACAGTCCCTCTATCACAGGGACTGTGGCTTGGCGGAGCTTAGTATTCTAATTTGACTGATTATTCAACGACGGCAACTGTCAATCGTTCATTAAATGTAGATAGTCTTTTGTTTATGTGTATAGTTACTGATTTGAGCCCTGTAAAGTGAAATAAACAATTCATTTCCGGTGACGAGGCAGCTTGTTGGAATCCGTATTCAAGTCGGGTATACTAGTATGCACAGTTCATTCTAAAGTGACACGATCTATGCTGCAATGTTCAATAAATATATTCACATACATAAATTAGGTTGCGTAGAGTAAATCTCTTGTCTCTGAGCGACCACATTTTACCCCAGACATGGAGCTAGAAAAGGATCTCTTTTTACCTCCATGCCCCAGATAACTAAGAGAACTGTATATTCAAATAATATTTATGTTGATTGTCCTTGCATTATTATTATTATTATTACTATTATTACTAATAATATTATCTTCCATAACCTCACAGGCAAGAGCATCTTGGATCGATTACCGGGTCGTAATATTTTTTTATCGTATTCACCTACGTGTTCGTGCCCATGCCTCATTTTATTATTTTGGCTAGGCTGCGCAACGACGAAAGAACATCAGCGGCGACATTGTTTACATTTATACTGGAACTTGCTACCACAGTCCCTCAACTGTGTTGCTACAAAGTATCATCTAGGTTCCCACGCAATTTTGAATATGATTGATAGGTCGTTCACGGACATCAGGCAGAGAAACACGAATTGTGAAACTGCTTAAGATTTCTTTCGCAGCCACAGGTTATCGTCTATTTTTTGACAAACTAGAAAGAATTACAAACTATGCCGATCTAGTCAAACGCAAGAATGCGTAAATGTGCATTTTTATCGGATATATGCCCGAAACGCAATCACGGCAAAACTTGGTCGAGCAATATCACGACAAAATGTACTCTGTCCTTACTCATTTTGCATACGAAATTGTACGTGAATGTCTTATTAAAGTGCTTCGTTGATCCACAGTCCCTCTAGAGGGATAGAGGGACTGTGGAATAATGAACTCCGCCCGCACCTGTTTATATACCATGTCGGTCTTTATAAGTTTAAACACGACCTTTTAGAAAACCCCAGACACCGAACGCGTCCAACCTGAAACATGTATATGCAAATAGTGACGTTAATATTAATACAATTATATGGCGAGATTATTACCAGAGTTCATAATACTAGTAATAAGATTGCTTTGCATTGCTAAAAGAAAAAAAAGTGGTTATTTCCAACTTGCAGTTCTTTGTTCACTCCCCCGGGATTCACTCTTTGCCTCACGTGGTTGCAGATGACTATCCGGTACTGCAGCCCGTATATTTATTTCATTTATTCAGTTTTGAATGTTATTATTATTAGTCTAAAACACGACCTTT